TGTATTGGACATTTAAGGCAAACCCTTTTCTGAAAAAAGGATTAATTACAGGTGTAGTTAGAATTGCTAAATCAAATCTTTTTAGTGACTTCGATAATTTAATTGAATATAATTTTTCAAATAACCCATTTGCCAAATTTTATGGCTTTACACAACATGATGTAGCTAGTCTTTTTGAAGAGTTCAAAATTTCAAAAAAAGACGGAGTTGAAGCTGTAACGTGGTATAATGGTTATATTATTCCACCAGATATAACCTTGAGAATGTATAACCCATGGTCAATTGTTAATTTTATACAAAGTAAAGTAGTTTCTAATTATTGGGTTCGAAGTGAAAACTTTAGTTTTGTTAACAATATTTTCAAAATTGACTTGATTAAATCAATTATTGAATCACTTCTAAAAGAAGAAAGCATTAAAATGGTTTTAAATGGATTGCAATTAGATATAAATGATTTCCATGTTATACGAGAATTGGTTAATGCTGATGAAAGTTATAAAATGGATACATATGTAGTAAATGTGTTCCTTTTATTTCTATTTACTGCTGGGTGTTTAACTATATCAGATAAGAACTTTCGAGCACAATCTGAAGTTCAAGTAATTAAATTACCAAATTGTGAGGTAAAATCTGTATTAAAAATGTGTTTAGTTTCTCATTATGAAAATCTTTATAATGTTGATGCAAAATCTTTTCGATTAGTTGCGGATGAACTTTTATGTTTATTTTATAATCAAGAGATAAATTCATTTCAAGCATCTTTAGAAGTAATGTTTTGTCAACTTCAGACATATAGTAACAACAAAGAGTCTATTCAAACAGAAAGTATGCATGAAAGTATTTTATACTCTTTAATCAACTGTGCTGCAATTCAAATGAGAGGCTGTTTATTTGAATCTAAGGTATGGCACAAAAACATTTTGAGATCTGATATTTTATTATTTTATCCCAAAACTCAAGCAGCAATGATAGTTAATGTAAAATATAACAAATCAGCTGAAGAAGCGCTTATTCAAGCACAAAAGTATATGGAAAATTTTAAAGATCATTCCGATATTAAAACCATTTTATTTCTTGGAATAAATATGTCAATTGATAAAGAAGTTGATGTTAAAATAATTCAACAAAACAATTCATATTATTCAGGGCAATAAGTTCTCAAAATTTTAAAGGAAAGTTTATTCTTTTGCGAATACTCTTTATTTTTTGACTAGAAAAAGTTGTGTTGTTTTTGAAAATTTAAAAATTTGAATTTGTATTTGAATATATATATACATATATATATATATATATATATATATATATATATATATATATATATATATATATATATATATATATATATATATATATATATATATATATATATATATATATATATATATATATATATATATATATATTTATATTTATTTATAGTTATATATATATATTTATATATATTTATATATAAATATATATACATATATATATATATATATATATATATATATATATATATATATATATATATATATATATATGTATATATATATATATATATATATATATATATATATATATATATATATATATATATATATATATATATATATATATATATATAAATGTTTACCTCCCACCCCTTAATCGTGTTTTACATTACAAAGCGACAATAAATTAGGTTATAAAAATGAAATCTAGTGGTTGCTCAACCCTTGGACATTGGGCAGGTTACTTATATTATCAAAAAAAAAGTTTCACAAAAGTGTGTCAACCTGGTTCGTAGAGAAAGTTAAATTATATTAAATCCTCAATAATAATAAAAGTTTTATAAAAAAAATATAAAAAAAGAAAAAAAAATTATCAAAAAACTTGTAAAAAATAAATTATTCATTTTTAGTTTAAAAGCATATTTATTATGCAATAAAATCTAAAATAATTTCATATGGAATAATTATTTCATATATAATGCCTCATGTTCGAAAGTTGTAGCCAAAACATAAATTAATATTTTCTAATCTAATTTAAAAATCCAATACTACTATTACATAGAATGCTATATATATATATATATATATATGTATATATATATATATATATATATATATATATATATATATATATATATATATATATATATATATATATATTTCTTGTCTTTTATTTATTATTGTATATGTCTTGTCTTTTATATATTGTCTTTTTATTATTTTATTTATTTTCTTGTCTTTTATATTGTCTAGTTGTATTCAAAATTTGTATTCATTTCTTAAAATATTAATAAAAGTTATTAAATTAAATTTAAAAAAATGTTTATTATATATCTCTTTAAATAATCATTGTTTGAATTATTGCGTACCTAATATTTACAAATATTCCATATCTCATGTTTACAAATTTTGAATATCTTATGTTTACAGTTATTCTTCGTATGTAAATGGTTACTATCTTTCCATATTTATGCAGAGTTTTCATTTGTAAATCTTAGCTTATTTTTCATATTTTGGAAATATATATTGTTGTTGTTTATATGATTTAATATGTTCTCTTATTTTTACAAAATATTTGAAAAAGGTTTTTGTTTGGGGGAATTACAACCCCCATACAAAAACCTTTTTCCAGAAATAGAGGGATGTTTTTATAAAACATCTCTCTATTTCTGGATTCTTTACTTTTCTTGATAGGCGATTTAATTAAAGTAGTAGTAATATTGTCTAAGGTTAGCCCTTCATTTCTGGATTCTTTATTTTTTATTAATAGGCAGTAATGCACAAATATTTTAAAAACATTTTGTAATTTATTTTTTTTTAAACTTTAATATATAAATATACAAGACAAATATATTACAAATAAAGTAACAAAGGGTCGTCCGTAAAGTACGTTCGCTTTGAAGTACACTCCCTTTTCTTTTCCTACCCACTCAACCACTGCGGCGGTGGCGCAGTAGTTAGCGCTTGCCTTAAAAGCAAGAAATCCAGGTTCGAAACGAGCTTTCAACATGTTTTCGCATCACGGTAAGGAAGGAGGCGTGAACTCCTTAGTCAAATGCACTTCCGTGGTGTTCTGTGACAAGACCATTAGGTCTTCTTGGGGCACCTAAAAGAAAAAAAAATTAATAGAAATAGAAAATGAAATATGAGCTTCGCATTTTATAAAAAAAAGCATTTTCAAAACAATGAATTATAATAATTCGCTAATAAAAAATGATTTTCACAGTTTACATGTTTCATAATTCGCTATTGAGAAATGATTTACAGTTTATTTTAAAAACACTTTTAAAACAATAGTTAAATTTTTTATACATCACTTCAAAATTTTTATTTGAATAAAAACTCTAATTATCTGTCTTCTTTGGATGAAAAATTTTAATAAATCTAAAGCTATTTCTTGATGAATAGATATTAAAGCAAGTCGATTTAATCTATTTTCTGGCATGGACTCCTTGTGTAAGTTTTTAATCTCCTGAGAGTATATATTGACCTTTCACGCTGTCAAGTTGTAATTGGTATTAGCAAATTTATGTAAAGTCTCTCATTTCCATTAACTTTAATGTATCCAAAATAGTAGATAGTAATTTTGTTATTTTTTCCAAAATTCCTCCCATAACTTTAAACGTTGAGTTTTTTTCCGGAAATTCACTTTAAACTCCTTTAAGTTTCTGGAAAATTCCGGATATTTTTTGCTATTGATTTGTGAACAAATAAATAAATATGCAAGACAAAATTGATGCTTTAGGTACGATGCATAATAAAGACTTGTATTATGAAAGTGAAGGTAAAACATCTTACTAAGCCACTCAAAGTCTAAAATACATTGTTAAAACTGCGCAACGGTTTAGTCAAATGTAGCTATACCATCGTCATTTTTTACTTACTAAAAAAAAAAACAGAAACATGTATATTGCCATATGGTACTCCGGATAACTTGCATAATGACAGATAGAGTAAAGCCTACCATTAAACCTATTGTATGTTTTAGAGACCGGACATCAAGTGCAAAGCTATGACACTTGCATTTATTCGTGAACACAATCTTTCAATATCTTCAACATCCCATATGATTGAATACGCAAAGGAAATGTTTAAAGATTATCGTTTTAAAAAATTTGAAAATATTTAGAACAACTGCTTTGTATAAGAAGGATTATCAAAACTGGACATTTCTCTATATAAAGATGAAAGTGACAAAATTTTAAAGAGGCTATCAAATAAAAGTAAAAAACTTATAAAAAAAGTAAAATGTAAAATGCAGCAGAAAAAGCTATTAAAACAATGTACGTAATGAAACATAACTTTATATTAATTTGAACGTTTAAGTTTAAACTTTCATTTTTAACTTTTGAACTAAAAGAACCATTAGTTCATCAAATTTATGAACTAAACTGATAAAAAAAAATTTTAAATTATTTAATTCAGCCAAAGATGATAAAAAATATAAAAGGATTAAAGTTGAAGTTTTTAAATCCGAAAGATAAAAAAACGTATCGAAATTCAAATTACATAGAAGTAATGCTTAATTATTCGAAATCCTGACTTCAAATCATCTTTTTTAAAGACCTTGTTTAAAACTGACCTTAAACCATCAGTTTATTTAATAAATTTCCTTTTAACAATCTTTTAATAAAATGTCCTTCTGCAATCTACCCAATATCTCAAAGCCACGAAATTACTGAGAGAATGCTAAAAAAACTTTCAACTTTCTTTCCCACTGTAGATATAAACAAAGTTGTATTTAATTAAGAAGTTATGCAGCTTTAGATTGATATAGCGCTTCCACCCAAATGCTGATGGAATGCCGGTACCTCTTGACTATAGATGGGCAAAAGTTTTTAAGTGTAAAAAATAGTTAGAACTTATTAAAATTACCAAGGTATGCCTAAGTTTATTCAGTATTCCTCATGTTAAGGAATCATTTCCCAGTAAACTTGCCATGCATGGTCCATGCATAGAATTCATTGGTTGATGACCGGCACCACTGCGCCAGTGATGCCGGTCATCAACCAATGGATGGCCATGCTCGTTTTACGATCGGCCAACTTTGCCGAACTTGCCTATCTTGTGCCAGGCATAAATCATGTTTGTGATAAAATAATGGTTTTAGTATGCGCATGTGCTATTTTGTAAAGTTTGCCATTTTCAGTTTCCTTATTACTTTTTAAGTATTGACTTATATTTGTTATAAATTTATTTGAATTCATAAACAAATGATAAGAAACCGTTGGATTCGAAGCAGGTTACATTATAATATAACAACAAATAATAGTTCAATTTAATACATAAAATTTAAACCTGGCATGGTTTATAATAGTAGTATAAATTTATAATACTATTATATATGTTTTCTAATATTTTTTTATAGCTTGTACTATATTATTAATATAAGTTATATATAAATAGCTTTAAAAAATTAATTTATATTATTTAGATTTTATTTTATTCTTTCTTCATGAGCTTTAAAAGGAAAAGCGAATGTTTAACATTGACAAAAAGAAGGAAAGTTTTGGCTGAAATAAATAGAGTGAAGAAAGAAATAAGCGAGCAGTTGAATCCAAAGACTACTATAATGAATTAGTTTAAAGAAACAAACGAAAGTGAATTATGTTTAAATAACTTTCAAAATATTTCTTCCAGTTTGCCAGATGCTAGTTCTTGAGGCAACAGTTTCCACACAAGTGTACTTGATGATAATAATACCACCAGTTTTGTTCAAAGTTCAGAAGTAGACATTTTTTTGATAAAATCATAACTGAATCAAATTTAAATTTGCAATCTGATGAAGAAAGCAGCTATTGTGATTCTTACCTGGATTGCGAAGAAATGTTTTTTAAAAATGAGTCAACTATGCCTGATATTACTTTAAGTCTCCATGAGTGGCATACTCAATTTAATATAACTGATGCTGCAACTTCTAATTTATTAAGTCGACTTAAATCATTCCATCCTGATTTACCCTTGAGCATTAATGGTCTTCTTGGTAAAAAAGCTCCTTATTTTATAGACAATATTGAAAATGATAATTTGTTTTACCATTTTCACATTAAAGATCATGTGGCTGAATTAACTAAAGCTGGAATTACAAATAATTTTTTATTGTTACAGCTAAGTTTTGATGGACTTCAATTATTTAAATCAAGTTCTGATGAATTTTGGCCAATTTTAGGATTTTTTCATGAGGTTGAAACATCACCTTTTCTTATCGGGTTTGCCTATTGTAAAAAAGCAAAACCTAATGTGAATAATTTTTTAGATAAGCTTGTTAAAGAGTGTAAAATTTTTGAAGAAGGTCTAATAATTGACGAGAGAAAAATTGTAATTAAAATACATGCAGTTGTATGTGATACGCCAGCTAAGGCATTTATCATGTGCACGAAAGGCCACAGTGGTTATTATTCATGTTTTATGTGTAATATTGAAGGAGAATATTTGAATAAAATGACTTTTTCTGGCAGTGATAATCAATTAAAGAGTGATTACTTATTTAGAAAAAAAGCTAATATTGAACATCACATTGGATGTTCTCCCCTTTTAGAATTTAAAATAGATATGGTTAACGACTTCCCTGCTGACTATATGCATTTAGTTTGTTTAGGTGTTGTCAGAAGACTCATGAAAATGTGGAAAGATGGGTTTGGAGATCAGCGAACAACCATAGGATCATTTTCAATATCTCTCATAAATGCTCGATTAGAAAGTATGTATAATTATATACCAAAAAATTTTCTATTATATGCAATATAATAGAAAATTTTTCATTGCAGGATTAAGGCGTGGACTTAATTTGTTTTGAAATTCATTTTTTTGGTTAGTACCTTAAATTTTGCAAGGATTTTCTAAATAAAAGGTTTTTCTTCATTTTAATATATATAAAAGGTTTTTCTTCATTTTAACATATTTCTCTTTAAAATCATCGGTTTAAGTTTTTGACCAGTGCACTGGTTAAAAACTTACATAGATTTATTAACAAATACATACATGTATGTATTTATATTTTGTTTTTTATGTATTTATATTTTAAAGCTATATCTAAAATTTATATTTATTGCAACTAACCAATTTTAATGCTTTTTGTTCAATATTTTTTTGTGTTGCTATTTATATTTAAATGATTAAAAAATGCTGCATGCTAAAGCTACGTAATCATTAGATACTTAAGAAAAGAAGCCATAAGAGATATATCCTAGTTATAAAAGTTTAAAAACTTATAAAAGTTTAATAAAATTTTTCTGATTATTGTTAGTTTATAGTTAATGCTTACTTATTGTGCTAAATAATTTATATGTATCTTTAAGTATATAGACTTTATATGCATCAACATCTGGTACCAGTGGTAATATCACAAGTATCTTTTCTTTACAAGTATATATTTCCATATATTTTGAAGGGGTTGTCTGCTTGTTTTCTTTTTTTTTTGTATTTATTAATGACATCAACATCTGGTAGCAATGGTAAAGTTCTAAAGTATCTTTTCCAAATAGTTGTATATAACCAATCAAATGATTTTATGTTATACTTTGTTTTTTCTATGAGATTATATCTTTTTTAAATCATTATAAATGACATTCTAAAGATGTTTTTTTCTTTTTATCAATTGCACTTTGTAGTCTTTAATGGCATCTGGTAGCAATGGTAAGTTTGTATCCTTTCAAAATGGTTAATAATGACTTGTAAAAGAAGATGTCTTTTTAAGTTATTGTTTATTTTATTTTGTTGTAATTAGGGGCAACAGCATTTAGTACCAGTGGTTAAGTTAGATGTATTTTTTTTGTTATATTTAATGATATTGACATCTGGTAACATTGGTAAGGTTATATTTTTTCAAAATGATTATATTAATTGTTAAAGAGGTTATATGTTTATTATCTTTTTTATTTTGTATTCTTTAGTTACATCCAAACTTAAAAGCAATGGTAAAGTTATATTTTTTTAAAAAGATTGTAAAAGACCTTTCATAAGGCTATTATATATTCTAATTTTTAAGATGTCATTTGATAACTATATTTTATATTTTGCATTTTTTAGAGGCATCACCACCTATTAGCAATAGTAATGGTATATCTTTTCAAAATGACTGGAAATGATCATTATTATATAAACATAATTATTATTTCCAAACATTTTTTTTTTTTTTTCAATATTATGTTTATTAATGTAAGATTAGTAAAATGAATATAACACCAAATATAACGCTTCAACCGTTAGTTTATTTTTTCTCATTATAACGCCAATATAACGGCACATCTGCCGTTATATTTAGCGTTATATTTGCTCAACTCGAGTTGATGTTAACGTCAGATCTGGCGTTATATACTTTTTGTTATTTTGGAGTTAGTTTTTTTACAATGTGTCTTATATTACGAACGGCCTAATTGTTATTTTAGATTTATCAGGAGCAGTTTGAAATACAAGAAAGATTGCAGCAAAATGTGAAGTAGAGGATTATTGATAGTTAGCACCATAAGGTCGAATAAATGACGGTCGAAGAAATGATGGCCAAGCTTTTACTAATCTTAAAACTTTATATGAATAAGAATTGTATATTAGTTAACTTTTATTGAAATGTAAAATATTTATCAATATATAACGTATTGCAAAAACGGTGGACATAATTTTCTACATTCCACTTTATAATATTTTGAAATATCTCATCAATTATATGTTTTCGCGTATACCTTTTTTGAGTTAGACAAACATCGACTTATTTTTCCTCCGGCAATTTATTACGTCTTTGAGCAAAGGAAAAACGAGGAATTCCTCTTAATTTAAATTCTCTCATGTGCTAAGTATTAGTTATAAATAAAATAAACAAAATAATAATAATAAAGTAAAATTAACATACACGCTTAAAAAAAAAGGTAGAAGTTTCTACTTTAGGGTAGGATATGTGATATACCTTTAGTAAGATATAATTTTCTACTTTTCAAGGTAAAAAATTACATTAAAAACAATGTTTTGTCATACTATTATCTTTCTTATAGGTATTATTTTCTACCTTAAAAAGTAGAAAACTATACCTTACTAAAGGTATATCACATATCCTACCCTAAGGTTCAAATTTCTACCTCTTTTTTTAGAGTGTAGATATGAGTAATAGCTATGCAACTTATAAACGTAGGTTAAAAGTAATTAAAAATAAAATAAATGAACCAAAAAAAAAACATAAAAATAAGCGCTGGCGAAGCTACGGCTAAACGCTGGTCGAAAAACGGCTACCACGCATAGACCATGCATCAAACGGTGAGCAACACTTGGCTTGCGCCATGCTTGTCGGCCGATGGTGGGCCAGTCATGGCACCGATGGTGGGCCATGCATGGAGCAAGCATGGCGAGTTTGCTGGGTTAGCATGATGAACACCATAGTTAACAAAAAGACAAACGGTTTTGATACTTCAACGTACTCTGCTTCACTTAAGTATCAATTATTAGCAAAGAATACCATAGAACTATAGTACTTTGAATGACAAAATATTGTATAACCCAGTTAATAAAAATATATGCGGTCATGTGGAAACTCTAAGCAAACGCTATTTTAAGAAATAGAATTCCATCAAAAAAACAGAAAAGTTGAAGAACGTTTTTTGATATAAATTCAATGCGGAAATGAAAATCGTCATTCAAGGGCAATCCAAAAAAACCTTTTATTGATCATGCAAAAAATTGCAGAAAAAGAAAAGCTGATAAATGCTTTGCAACAGAAAATAATACAAATAAAAAGTATTGGTTTCTGAACCATTGTCAGATTATTTATATTTAAAGTAAATTATTTATATATTATAAGTAAATAAATTATTACGCTTTGCACATAAACCATTATAAGCAATCAAACCTGTTTTCTAGTTTATTGAGAAGGTAAATATTAAGAGGAATTGTCATAAAAACTTTAAAATAATGATAAAATAATATCATATATTTGATTATCTCTATGTTTTTGAACATCACATGTTCTAGAGTTTTTTTTATCAATATCAAATGTTTTAGCCAATGCAAGAACAATTTTATATCATTTATTATGATAATAAGCATACCTTTGTGAGTTTTTTTTAAACAATTAGTCATCATCCACTTGATGGGAAATAAAAAGTTGAATTTAATCGGCTTGCTGGGAAAATAAAAAGATTTAGTTTAAAAGGTGAATTTCCATAAAAGTAATCCATTAGTTGTTTAATTAAAACGAAAGAAACTTTAATAGAAAAATTTGTCAATACTTCATAAAAGAAAATGTTTCTTTATTGTACTCTTTGAAATTATTGTCTTTAAAAGCAGAAAACACTGCAGAATAATCCACATCCACAAAAATCCATAAAGCATAAATAAAAGCTCTAACTTTCTATCTCATTTGGATGCAAAAATTTCAATAACTCTGTTAATATTTGGAACTATTTTCTGACGAATAGACACAAAAGCAAGTTTATTCAACCTATTTGTACCTACCAAGTTTGACATGTTTCAAAGAGAAGGGTAAAGTTGCCAATATTGTACCGGACCCTAAATTATACTTTCGCAGTATCTAGTTATTTTTACAACCCGCAAAAAATCTTTATTGTTAAACTAATGAATCAATCGCTTTATTGTATGATGAAACTGTATTCTGGCAACAATTAGGCCAGGTTGATATGTTTCCAAAGTTATCTTATTTTTGGGTTCAATGATAAGTGTATTACTTTATACTTTAGAAATATGCATCTTTTTTATCAAATTTATGTGATAGCAGTCTTTATGTAAATTGAAAATAACTTCCAAGACACTAAAATGCAGTAGTATTAGTTGTCTAAATTCTTTACAAAATCAAAGTGTTTTTAGTCGCGTAATTTGTACCACACTTAAGGCCTTAAATGGTACCAACGTTGCCATTTCAAATGCTCAAAATATGCGTGAAGTTTATAAAAATATATGAAGTTAAATATGTTAAAACAGAGATATGGTTTGTGGACAAAAGAGGATATGGAAAAGGCTATGTTTGCTTATCGAAATGGTAATATTTGACTCAATGCCGTATGTGCAAAATATGGAATTCCTAAACCAACATTAAAAAGAAACTTTCCTCCTGAAGTGAATAAAGAGTTAGTTGAACATGTTTTTAAACTGGAATCTTGTATGCTTGGAATAAGTAAAACAGATCTAAGGCGATTAGCATTTGAAGTTGCTGAAAAACAAAATATCTCATCACTTCAACAAAGATGTTGGTTTAGCTGGAAAGAAATGGTATTACCAATTGATGAAACGCAATACAAGCTTTAGTTTGAGAATACCTGAACCAACTTCTATGGCAAAGGTTTTTGTAAAGAAAAGATTTTATTATATTTCAATAAATTTATCAAGCTTGTTGATAACCACAATTTTACTGCAGATCTTTACAACGTAAATGAAACTGGAATAAGTACATTTCAGAAACCAAGGAAAGTTTTAACTATAAAAGGGAAGCACCAACTTGGAGATATTACAAGTGGTGATTGGGGTGCGAATACCCCTGCCATATGTTGTATAAATGCTGTTGGATCTTTATTTAAAAACTTTAGCATATAAATCTGCTGAATGGCCATACTCGAGCAGTGAACGTCTGAGAGAATGCATTAGGATAGAGAAGAACTTTTTTTCGAATAAAGCATATTTTGACAGTTGTCAAGACAAAAATAAAGATCAACAGAAAAATATTTAGAAATATACTATTACGGTGATAAAAATAGGACAATGAACTCAAACAATATTTACAAAAAATTTTTTATAAACACTTAAAACGAATAAAGATATACAACCCATATATAACACCAAACAAAAACTTACAAAACAAAATATTGACTACAAAATAAAAAATAAAAAGTGTGCATACCATAATGTAAGGGTTAAGAATGAAAAAAAAACATCAATGTCAACGTGTAAGCATAATTTGTGAAGTGCCCAAGCAATAAACACCTCCTCAGAGTCGCGTCTATTATTACTGGCGTTTCGATGAGGATCAGCACTAATAACTAGTTTATCCCGTCAGATAAACGTCATCACTACCTATGCTTTAGCCTATTCCGTACTGCAGTAAAATGGGACTCTTTACAAATAGCCAAAACCCAGTCATACCCAAATTTATAAAAAACCAATATTTTTTTGATGAAATGATATTGAAAGTGTTGATCTACTGTCTAATATAAATCAAAACCACAAAATGAAATCACTTACCATACCACTGGAAGAAAGTATGAAAAAACTATATAACACAACAAATAAATGTGTTTATAGAAAAACAAAAATCATATTATGTTAATAATAAGTTAATAGTATATTAATAAATATAATTAAAGTTTTGTTTCATTTTGTTATAAATAAATGTTATAAATTGCATTTACTATATGTTTGTTAATTTAAATTAATTTTACAGTATTAAAATAGTTTAAACGATCTTTAAATTTTTGTAAAATTAAAGTTCGTTTAATTCAATCCAGAAAGATTAAATATTTTTTTTATTATTGAAGTAATTAAAGTAGATTTAAGAAAGAGTCGACTTGAGTTGAATGTTGTTTTGTTTTTCTGTTTAGATGACGACAATAATATTAGAGCAAGTAAGTTAAAAAGCATTTTTACTTTTAAAAAGAAATAAAATTACTTTTCAATAAACAATAAAATAAACAATTAGAATATATTTTTTGTGGCTGGTGAGCTCCAATTTCTTCCAATGTGCACCACAACGACAAAACGGACATAAGGCTATCTCGCTGGATGTGGTTACGATATTCGATAACCTAATGACTAAGCTGACACTCGCGCACACGTTCATTCTGAAAATAAACAATGAACGTCGGATCAGAGCTTGCTGACTATGTGCTCGGATCTAAAATCTCACTTCATAGCACATCATTCCACACCAGTACGAGCTCGTAGCTCTTTTGGCTAAGAGTGATGGCATGCGGCCTACCGTGTATGTGTGCATTTGATCAATTGAAATCCATTTTGTAGGTCTTAGGTCTGACTCTGATGTGCATTTTTACTTTTTAAAAAGAAATAAAAATACTTTTTAATATATATCTGTTTTCTTTGAAAAAGATTTAAAGTTTCAGGTTTTATTATTTTGCTAAAAAGTCTTCTTTAAAACTTTAATTATTCTTAATAAAAAAAATCTACTCATTTGGCCACCATTAGAACGAAAGGAGGAGAGATTTACAAACTTTGTTAACACATAATTTCTGAACTTGAAAAAAAATTAAATAGGCAGAAAAAAAAAATTAAGGATGATTGTTTGATTTTATAATTAAAAAAATGCGTAACTAATCAATATAACACCAAAATAGTTAATTACATTCTTAGAAATCAAATTTAAAAAGAGTAATATAAAATTTTTAATAATAGTGAAATAAGGTTTTATCAATCGTAATAAATTGAATTAAGTTTTTATCAATCATATAAATTAAATTATAGCAGTTATTCGTGATTTCATTAATAAAATGTTTAATGAGATGTTTGTTAAATATAAAAAGAATTTATATAAATCTTGAAACAACAAGAAATAAACATTATATTGTAAGCTCAAGCGTAAAAATAATTCACGATCGGTAAGAAAAAGTTGAAAAAAATATAAATAACAATGCTGAACGAGTCAAGTCAATAACAAAAG